CCCTTCACTGTTGTAAGCCGCCCTGAGTCCCCTCAGGGAAAAGGGCGGCATATAAATTTCCAATAAAATATAAATAAAATAAAATATAAAATATAAAAATCCATGGCCATTAGGACTTGAATTGCAAGCTAGACTGAACATTGTTTTCCACAAATATTACACAGTATAGATAGGTTTAGTGCTCCTGATTATCAACATACCTTCGAGATCATGGTTACTCCTAGCATCTCCATAATGGAGTTCAAAGGGCTGCCACAGAACCTCTTGTCCTAGTTTTATTTTAATAATATGTTCCAGAATGTGTTCCTACAATGACAATTTCCCAGATCTGAGTGGTCATCACCATCCCTGCTTCCTCTACAAGCTAAAAGGGAGGGATCCAGCCAAGTGAAAGACAACTAACAACTAGGATTATGCTCTATATTTTTATTCAGAAATCAGACCTGAAGGAGTCCTGGATAACGTAAGATAATGCCTCAGTCAACATGAAAGATTCTGTCCATTACATATATATTTATATGGCTTGAATTGGCATGCACATATGCTTTCATCTTATTAGTCTAGTTCAATGAACTTGATTTAAAACCCATTTTAGGATCTAGAGATCTTGGGAAGATAATCTGCAAATAAAGTCCCACTGGAATTTCATTTTAAACAGCCAAATTGGTTTCTAAAAGTAGACTTTTTCTGTCATATTTGTAAGGTTTCATAAAGCCATAATTTGTTAGCATACTAAATCTCAATTTTACTTTTATGTTATCTTTATAAAGGTATGTATTTATGTTGCAAAAATTGAGTTATTTTGTTTATACTGATTTTAGATATTTTAAGTCTTTGATACAGAAGTTTTTGAAATAATCAGAACTGCTTTTTCATGTGCATTAGAGGCATGAGAAAAACTTAGTGTAACACAAATATGCCATTTTTGCATACTATGATATGCATATCATCTGACTCCATCATCCTATGCCCATGTATCCCAGCATTTGATTTTGAATGGCAAGCAAATTGAAGAGGTTACATTTTTGTTGAATATGAGTAGACTTTCTGTACACTTGATAGCCCTGATTTATGATCCTAATGAGTTTCATTTACATTGAAGCACATAATCAGACAAATGAGGTATTAACTTTCTCAATATTGTGGCTGAGTTCATCCAGAAAACTAAATCATGAACTTAGTGTTTTGATTCAGTATTATCCACAGATAGTTGAGATTTGTTCACTAGATGTAGTTAAATTGTAGCTTAAATAGATACATTATACCACCTTGAAAATTAAATTATGGGAATGATTCTTTTTTGCAACTGAGTGCAATCCTGGAAAGGAAATTTTAGTTATTGGTGACCATTGTGCATCATAGTAAATTAAAAATGAAGCCCTTCTTTAATTCTTAAAGAAATTTAAAAAGCATGGCTTAACTGATTTCTTGTCATGTGGCCTGGTTCACCAAATATACTAGAACTAGACAATCACTCATATTTTGTCAACCATAATTATGTTTGCATACAGCACCTCAGTGGCTAAACAAGGATTAATGTAATATCGAGCCTTTGTGACTTTCATAGACAAATAGAACCTTCAGTTTGGGTTTTCCTAGCTCTGAGTCAGCATTTCATGGTCTAGGACCGGGATGGCGAACCTATGGCACACGGAGCCATTTGGCATGGCACGCAAGGCGTTTTCCTGCGCGTTGGTCAGCTGAGTTAGCCTTTTTAAAAGCCATTTTTTGCCCTTCCCAGGCCGAGGTGGCGCAGTGGGTAGAGTGCAGTACTGCAGGCTACTTCAGCTGACTGCAGTTCTGCAGTTCAGCGGTTCAAATCTC